TATATATCTCGAAGTCTCTACTTCTTTTGTAGGGTCTGATGGTGTAGTGGGTTAAGGCGTACTAGTTATGGCAGCTACTGGAAGGTAGTTGTGCTTTCTGGGTTCGAGGCCCACTGGTGGGTGTTGTCCAAAGATTGTTAATCTTCACTTGTGGTTTATGCAAGTGTAGGCTTATAGCATGGACACGAGTTCTCTCACATTAACAGTGGCTTGATGAAAAACGCAGAGTAACCTCTCACTTGTCTAGTGCCCTCGGGAAGTGGAGATATTTGAGGTGTATATATATCTCGAAGTCTCTACTTCTTTTGTAGGGTCTGATGGTGTAGTGGGTTAAGGCGTACTAGTTATGGCAGCTACTGGAAGGTAGTTGTGCTTTCTGGGTTTGAGGCCCACTGGTGGGTGTTGTCCAAAGATTGTTAATCTTCACTTGTGGTTTATGCAAGTATAGGCTTATAGCATGGACACGAGTTCTCTCACATTAGTAGTGGCTTGATGAAAAACGCAGAGTAACCTCTCACTTGTCTAGTGCCCTCGGGAAGTGGAGATATTTGAGGTGTATATATATCTCGAAGTCTCTACTTCTTTTGTAGGGTCTGTTGGTGTAGTGGGTTAAGGCGAACTAGTTATGGCAGCTACTGGAAGGTAGTTGTGCTTTCTGGGTTCAAGGCCCACTGGTGGATTATATATATATATATATATATATATATATATATATATATATATATATATATATATATATATATATATATATATATATATGCATGATAGTGTTAGGCATCAGTGTTTGTGTGGTGTAACACTAATTGATTACACAATAGTCAGACTGTCATTGTCATTGTCTTTACACACACACACAGGTCCTAGCAGCAGATCGGACAGCGTTCTGGAGTCGGTCGAGGCAGACACACATGGGACAGAATTTTGTTCACTTGATGCCTCTGTTCACTCAGCAGTAAATACGTACCTGGTATTTAGACAGCTGCTACAAGCTGTATCCTGGGTATGTGTGTTGGAAAGAAATATGCAGTGGATATGATAGAGCAAAAATAGGCCATGAGTCAGACCATTTGACAACCGACGGTTAGAAAGGCGAGGTCCAAGAGCTAACAGTTCTATACTACAGTCACAAATCCTAAATACAAATAGTAATTACACACACGCACACACACACACACTATATAGAATAAACTATATAAATATATAATAAAATCCATTTTTGCCGTTCACAATTTCAAAACTTGATGACAGGAGACATGTGTCTTGGGAGATGTGGTGACTGGCGGCTCGAAAGCCGGTGACCAAGAGCTGAAGTATATCTACAAAAGTTACTCACCTCATCACAAAATACGCAGAATGGCAAATCGTCACTATACTTCATGTTGTCTACACAATAGTCACTATACTTCATGTTGTCTACACAATAGTCACTATACTTCATGTTGTCTACACAATAGTCACTATACTTCATGTTGTCTACACAATAGTCACTATACTTCATGTTGTCTACACAATAGTCACTACACCTCATGTTGTCTACAGTATAGTCACTATACTTCATGTTGTCTACACAATAGTCACAATACTTCATGTTGTCTACACAATAGTCACAATACTTCATGTTGTCTACACAATAGTCACAATACTTCATGTTGTCTACACAATAGTCACTATACTTCATGTTGTCTACACAATAGTCACTATACTTCATGTTGTCTACACAATAGTCACTATACTTCATGTTGTCTACACAATAGTCACAATACTTCATGTTGTCTACACAGTAGTCACTATACTTCATGCTGTCTACACAGTAGTCACAATACTTCATGTTGTCTACACAATAGTCACTATACTTCATGTTGTCTACACAATAGTCACTATACTTCATGTTGTCTACACAATAGTCACTATACTTCATGTTGTCTACACAATAGTCACTATACTTCATGTTGTCTACACAATAGTCACTCTACTTCATGTTGTCTACACAATAGTCACAATACTTCATGTTGCCTACACAATAGTCACTATACTTCATGTTGCCTACACAATAGTCACTATACTTCATGATGTCTACACAATAGTCACTATACTTCATGTTGTCTACACAATAGACACAATACTTCACGTGTCTACACAATAGACACAATACTTCACGTGTCTCCACAATAGACACAATACTTCACGTGTCTACACAATAGACACAATACTTCACGTGTCTACACAATAGACACAATACTTCACGTGTCTCCACAATAGACACAATACTTCACGTGTCTACACAATAGACACAATACTTCACGTGTCTACACAATAGACACAATACTTCACGTGTCTACACAACTCCGCCAACACCATCACTTAAACAGGAAAATGTAATTCTTGTGAGGCAGTCAGGGTAGTGACTGATAGTTACCAGCATCGTAGTTCCTGGGGTAGTTAGGTGAGGTGATTGTCCCAGGCTCCGTGATCCGCTCAGAGCACGTGTCCAGGTGGTCGCCTGTGAGGGAGAGGGGAGTGGTTAGTGCGGCCTGGTGGTCGTGTGAGGGAGAGAAGAGTGGTTAGTGCGGCCTGGTGGTCGCCTGTGAGGGAGAGAAGAGTGGTTAGTGCGGTCTGGTGGTCGTGTGAGGGAGAGGGGAGTGGTTAGTGCGGCCTGGTGGTCGTGTGAGGAAGAGAGGAGTGGTTAGTGCGGCCTGGTGGTCGTGTGAGGGAGAGAAAAGTGGTTAGTGCGGCCTGGTGGTCGCCTGTGAGGGAGAGGGGAGTGGTTAGTGCGGCCTGGTGGTCGTGTGAGGGAGAGAAGAGTGGTTAGTGCGGCCTGGTGGTCGTGTGAGGGAGAGAAAAGTGGTTAGTGCGGCCTGGTGGTCGCCTGTGAGGGAGAGGGGAGTGGTTAGTGCGGCCTGGTGGTCGTGTGAGGGAGAGAAGAGTGGTTAGTGCGGCCTGGTGGTCGCCTGTGAGGGAGAGGGGAGTGGTTAGTGCGGCCTGGTGGTCGTGTGAGGGAGAGGGGAGTGGTTAGTGCGGCCTGGTGGTCGTGTGAGGGAGAGAAGAGTGGTTAGTGCGGCCTGGTGGTCGCCTGTGAGGGAGAGAAGAGTGGTTAGTGCGGCCTGGTGGTCGTGTGAGGAAGAGGGGAGTGGTTAGTGCGGCCTGGTGGTCGCCTGTGAGGGAGAGAAGAGTGGTTAGTGCGGCCTGGTGGTCGCCTGTGAGGGAGAGAAGAGTGGTTAGTGCGGTCTGGTGGTCGTGTGAGGGAGAGAAGAGTGGTTAGTGCGGCCTGGTGGTCGTGTGAGGGAGAGGGGAGTGGTTAGTGCGGCCTGGTGGTCGTGTGAGGGAGAGGGGAGTGGTTAGTGCGGCCTGGTGGTCGCCTGTGAGGGAGAGAGGAGTGGTTAGTGCGGCCTGGTGGTCGCCTGTGAGGGAGAGAAGAGTGGTTAGTGCGGCCTGGTGGTCGCCTGTGAGGGAGAGGGGATTGGTTAGTGCGGCCTGGTGGTCGTGTGAGGGAGAGGGGATTGGTTAGTGCGGCCTGGTGGTCGCCTGTGAGGGAGAGAAGAGTGGTTAGTGTGGCCTGGTGGTCGTGTGAGGAAGAGTGGAGTGGTTAGTGCGGCCTGGTGGTCGTGTGAGGGAGAGGGGATTGGTTAGTGCGGCCTGGTGGTCGCCTGTGAGGGAGAGAAGAGTGGTTAGTGTGGCCTGGTGGTCGTGTGAGGAAGAGGGGAGTGGTTAGTGCGGCCTGGTGGTCGTGTGAGGAAGAGGGGAGTGGTTAGTGCGGCCTGGTGGTCGTGTGAGGGAGAGGGGAGTGGTTAGTGCGGCCTGGTGGTCGTGTGAGGGAGAGGGGAGTGGTTAGTGCGGCCTGGTGGTCGTGTGAGGGAGAGGGGAGTGGTTAGTGCGGCCTGGTGGTCGTGTGAGGGAGAGGGGATTGGTTAGTGCGGCCTGGTGGTCGTGTGAGGGAGAGGGGATTGGTTAGTGCGGCCTGGTGGTCGCCTGTGAGGGAGAGAGGAGTGGTTAGTGCGGCCTGGTGGTCGCCTGTGAGGGAGAGAGGAGTGGTTAGTGCGGCCTGGTGGTCGCCTGTGAGGGAGAGGGGATTGGTTAGTGCGGCCTGGTGGTCGCCTGTGAGGGAGAGAGGAGTGGTTAGTGCGGCCTGGTGGTCGCCTGTGAGGGAGAGAGGAGTGGTTAGTGCGGCCTGGTGGTCGTGTGAGGGAGAGAAGAGTGGTTAGTGCGGCCTGGTGGTCGCCTGTGAGGGAGAGAAGAGTGGTTAGTGCGGCCTGGTGGTCGTGTGAGGGAGAGAAAAGTGGTTAGTGCGGCCTGGTGGTCGTGTGAGGGAGAGAAGAGTGGTTAGTGCGGCCTGGTGGTCGTGTGAGGGAGAGAAAAGTGGTTAGTGCGGCCTGGTGGTCGCCTGTGAGGGAGAGAAGAGTGGTTAGTGCGGCCTGGTGGTCGTGTGAGGGAGAGGGGAGTGGTTAGTGCGGCCTGGTGGTCGCCTGTGAGGGAGAGAAGAGTAGTTAGTGCGGCCTGGTGGTCGCCTGTGAGGGAGAGAAGAGTGGTTAGTGCGGTCTGGTGGTCGTGTGAGGGAGAGGGGAGTGGTTAGTGCGGCCTGGTGGTCGTGTGAGGAAGAGAGGAGTGGTTAGTGCGGCCTGGTGGTCGTGTGAGGGAGAGAAAAGTGGTTAGTGCGGCCTGGTGGTCGCCTGTGAGGGAGAGCGGAGTGGTTAGTGCGGCCTGGTGGTCGTGTGAGGGAGAGAAGAGTGGTTAGTGCGGCCTGGTGGTCGCCTGTGAGGGAGAGGGGAGTGGTTAGTGCGGCCTGGTGGTCGTGTGAGGGAGAGGGGAGTGGTTAGTGCGGCCTGGTGGTCGTGTGAGGAAGAGGGGAGTGGTTAGTGCGGCCTGGTGGTCGTGTGAGGGAGAGAGGAGTGGTTAGTGCGGCCTGGTGGTCGCCTGTGAGGGAGAGAAGAGTGGTTAGTGCGGCCTGGTGGTCGCCTGTGAGGGAGAGAAGAGTGGTTAGTGCGGTCTGGTGGTCGCCTGTGAGGGAGAGAAGAGTGGTTAGTGCGGCCTGGTGGTCGTGTGAGGAAGAGAGGAGTGGTTAGTGCGGCCTGGTGGTCGTGTGAGGGAGAGAAGAGTGGTTAGTGCGGCCTGGTGGTCGTGTGAGGGAGAGAAAAGTGGTTAGTGCGGCCTGGTGGTCGCCTGTGAGGGAGAGGGGAGTGGTTAGTGCGGCCTGGTGGTCGTGTGAGGGAGAGGGGATTGGTTAGTGCGGCCTGGTGGTCGTGTGAGGGAGAGAAAAGTGGTTAGTGCGGCCTGGTGGTCGCCTGTGAGGGAGAGAAGAGTGGTTAGTGCGGCCTGGTGGTCGCCTGTGAGGGAGAGAAGAGTGGTTAGTGCGGTCTGCAGGTGGTCGTGTGAGGGAGAGAAGAGTGGTTAGTGCGGCCTGGTGGTCGTGTGAGGGAGAGGGGAGTGGTTAGTGCGGCCTGGTGGTCGTGTGAGGGAGAGGGGAGTGGTTAGTGCGGCATGGTGGTCGTGTGAGGGAGAGGGGAGTGGTTAGTGCGGCCTGGTGGTCGTGTGAGGGAGAGGGGATTGGTTAGTGCGGCCTGGTGGTCGCCTGTGAGGGAGAGAAGAGTGGTTAGTGCGGCCTGGTGGTCGTGTGAGGGAGAGGGGATTGGTTAGTGCGGCCTGGTGGTCGCCTGTGAGGGAGAGAAGAGTGGTTAGTGCGGCCTGGTGGTCGCCTGTGAGGGAGAGAAGAGTGGTTAGTGCGGTCTGGTGGTCGTGTGAGGGAGAGAAGAGTGGTTAGTGCGGCCTGGTGGTCGTGTGAGGGAGAGGGGAGTGGTTAGTGCGGCCTGGTGGTCGTGTGAGGGAGAGAGGAGTGGTTAGTCCGGCCTGGTGGTCGTGTGAGGGAGAGGGGAGTGGTTAGTGCGGCCTGGTGGTCGCCTGTGAGGGAGAGAAGAGTGGTTAGTGTGGCCTGGTGGTCGTGTGAGGAAGAGGGGAGTGGTTAGTGCGGCCTTGTGGTCGTGTGAGGAAGAGAAAAGTGGTTAGTGCGGCCTGGTGGTCGTGTGAGGGAGAGGGGAGTGATTAGTGCGGCCTGGTGGTCGTGTGAGGGAGAGGGGAGTGGTTAGTGCGGATAAGTCAGGATAAGGATTTGGGATGGGACAGGGTGGGGGAGGAATGGGTGGAGAGACGTTTGGAGAGAGTCAGAGGAAGAGAGAGATATACAAAAGGTATATTTGTATTGTGCTTGACGATATTTTAATTGTATAGTTTAGTAATTTAATTTACCAATATATCTGATACGCTTGTTAAACCTTGTAATGCATGCGGTAACTACCGTCGTGCACATTTACGTGTTTTTAGAACGTGTAAACTAAGCTTTCTTAGTTGCTCCATGTGCTAGACAACCTAATTCTCGGGATTAGCTTCATCATCCTTCTCTGTCTAATTTAAACCTAATGTAAATTAAAATTACATAATTTTAGAACCATAAAGCTCAGTGAATAAAGCTTACTATAAAGAACCATAAAGCTCAGTGAATAAAGCTTACTATAAAGAATCATAAAGCTCAGTGAATAAAGCTTACTATAAAGAACCATAAAGCTCAGTGAATAAAGCTTACTATAAAGAACCATAAAGCTCAGTGAATAAAGCTTACTATAAAGAATCATAAAGCTCAGTGAATAAAGCTTACTATAAAGAACCATTAAGCTCAGTGAATAAAGCTTACTATAAGGAACCATAAAGCTCAGTGAATAAAGCTTACTATAAAGAACCGTAAAGCTCAGTGAATAAAGCTTACTATAAAGAACCATAAAGCTCAGTGAATAAAGCTTTAAGGACTAGTGCTGTTGGGGCCCTCGCAATAACAAGTTCCTGGGAACAGTAACGTTACATTATTACTAATGCTGCTAAATCACAGTACCCACGTTATTGCTCATCATAGTGGACTGGACCTAGATTCACGAAGTTCCATGTATTTCTTCGTAAGTATGTATGCTACGAAGGGTCCTAAGTACCGGCTAAGAATGCGCCAAAGTGCAATTCAGAAAAGTGTACTTACGAGGATTTTTAAGTAATTCACTTAGGTCTTGCTAGATGTCACTAGGGCTTTTAGTTTGGCCAATCAGAGAGAAGGTAACATTTTTCATCTTACAACTGTAGCCAATCACGACGCTGGCATATCGGAGCTTATCCGTGATCACTTGCCAGTTATTTACTGGCAAGTGATCACTTATATTTATATTTATAATTTTCTTATAAAATTAGTATATTTCGAAGTAAAACTATGTTTATTTAACTTACAGAATCAGCGCCGACATTGTAGTAAACAAATATGTTATTTTTTTGTTTACCTACATAATTCTAAGAGATAGTGTGTAGCTTTCCTTGTCGCTCCCAAGATTTGAGAAGCGATGGTATATTTTTACGTATATATTTACCTAAATTTACCCAAGGGCCAATAACTATCTAGTGGCCTCGACGAGGACAGAAAGCCGGGGGCTTGTTAAATCCCGCCAATTGTCCTAATGATATTTTCTAGCTGGATTTTGG